CCCCCCTCTTCCAACCCTTTCGAGGACACCCCTACCCCGCCTTCCTTCCCTATGATTATATGCTTTCCAGTCACTACTTTGATCCTTTTCTCTAAATGCCAAACCCTCAAAACCCCTCTCACCCTCGCAATACTTTTATTAACTCCAACCTTTTCCCAATTTTCCCCACCCGAATTTTTTGCATAATATTTTCACCCCACATTTCCCTTAAACAGGGCATCTCCACTGCCCCCAACCGTCTCCTCCGCTCCCCTTTCCACCCAACTTCACACCCATATAAGGTTTGGGACTACTATCTTTCATACATTCCCCTTTTTTGCCCCATAGATAACTTTTTTTGACCCACAATACCTCAACGCACCACTCCCTTTTTTTTCCCTCATCAATTCTACATTTAAACCCCATCCTTCATAAAAACCATCCGCCGACAAGTCAACTCCCAAGTATCAAAAAAATTCACTTCTTTCATACTCCCACCCCAATTTGATATCCAAATTTTTTTTTATCAAATCTTTTTATACCCTCTCACCTACTCTTTTCTAAAGTTCACTTTCAACTTTCACCTTTAAAACACATTCCCAAACTCACCACTAACCTTTCAATTTTTTTTTTAAACTCCCCAAAGCACAGATCATCCAAAAAGTAACTGGTCAATTTCCCCCTTTTGAATTTGATTCCCCCAAAAATTTTTCCCACCCCCTCCCGAACACCCCAGCATTTACTTCCTTTACAACCCCATCTAAAATATATTAAACAAAACCCTTTTGAAAATTACACATCCCCGTCTAAACCTACTTTTACCGGGGGTATTTTCCCTTTTTTCTACACACCCTAACCTGAGCCTCACTATCCTCATAAAAACTCTTTACAGCATTTAAAACTTACCCATCTATACCATAAACTTGCACCATCTGCCACATTGCTTCTCTTCCACTCGATCATATGCCTTTTCTAACAAATCCATAAATGCAATAAAAACTTTCCCTACCGTTATCTAAATACTGTCCACAAATATGCTTCAATGTAAACACTTGATCTACAATCCTTACCCACTCTGAAGCCTCCAGCTCATCCGCAATCCTACCTCTGTTCTTACCTCTAATTGCTTTCAATATAACCCTACCGTACACTTTTCCTTGGCATGCACATTAAACTTATTCCTCTATAATTTTACAATCTCTCTGCCCCCTTTCCCTTTATATAAAGGGACTATAGCCTGCTCTCTGCCAATCCCCTAGTACCTTCCCCTCTTTCATACATTTATTAAACAAAAGTACCAACACTCCAACACTATATCCCCCCTGCTTTTTAAAACATTTCCTGTCATGGATCCCATCAGTTCCAGCTGCTTACCCCCGTTCGTTCTACGTAATGCCTCACTACCTCCCCCACACTTAAATTCTGCTCTTCTTCCCACTCCTAAAAGATGGTATACCTCCCTGGCCAGTTGCATGAAATTACCGCCTCACTTTCTTCTTAAACATTTAAAAGTCCTCATAATATTCGCCATCTACCTAATTACCTCCCACTCCCCATCTACTAACTCCCTACTCTGTGATTAACTGGTGGACAAATCCATACTATTCCCTTGGCTTTTCAGTAACTTGTTTAACTCACTTCAACTCCAAAAATTTTCTTATTTTCATTAAAATTATCTTGACAGTGCCTCTCCCACTCTACATCCTGCGTCTCCTTTGCACTCTCTCACCACTCACTTCACTTTCTTTTTACTCTCCATATCTGCGCTCTCTTATAACACTTCCTGCTTTGTAAAACCTCTCATAAGCTACCTTTTCCCTCTTTAATTTAATCGCACCCTTTCTTCATCATCCACCATTCAATCCCCTTTCTCCTGCCCACGCCTCCTTTAAAAACACAAACTTCTGCCCCACAGTCTTCTAAAACTGTATTTTTACAACAATCCAACCCTCCCTTCACCCCCCCCCCACTACGCATCTTTGCACTAGCCCCCCCTTCTCCCAATAGTCGTTAATCTCACCCATTTCCTCCCCCCTTAGTTTATACACTTTCACCCCCCTTACTTGTTTTTTGCCACCTCCTTTTTTCCCCCACTCCCTCTTACTCTAACGTACTACAACAAAATAATGATCATATATCAGTTGCCCTCTAAAACATGACATCCGGGAGCCACCCATCAACCTTTATCCACCAATACATAATCTAAAAACACTTCATTACGTGCTACATCTTTCCTTGTTATTTTTATCCTCTTTTCAAAAATTTTTATTTTTTACCAAATTCTTTCTACACATAGCTCAATTAAAGGCTCCCCATTTACTTTACCCCCTGGCCCCTCAAATTTCCCTACTACTCCTCCAAAACTTTTTTCCCACTTAGCTTTGAAATCCCCAACCACCATTACTCTCACATTTGATTTCAAAACCCCCCACCCCCCCCCAAAATTTTCCCCAAAAATTTTCTTCTTCCTCTACACTTTTTTCCTTCCCCGGGGCTACCGCTTATTTAACCCACTTTTCACATCCAACTTTATTTTTACTCCACAAAACCCTTTAAATTTAAAACTTTTATGAAATTTTTTTTTTTTCCCAAAAGTACTGATACAACTTAACAACTATGACATCAATGAATACTACATATAAAAGCCCCCTTGTTAAGAAAATAAAAAGAATGCAGCAGGCCTACTGACCCAGCGAACAGGTCCATGCCCCCCCCCGGGTTAGCCCATGACCCCCTCAGTCATTTTTAACCACTTAAGTAGCAAAGCTAGGGACCAATCAACCCACCCACACCCACTCAGTATTATCTAACCAAATTTTTAAAAATACACAAGTATTAGCCTCAATAACTGTACTTGGGGTTTGTTCCATCTCCCCAATCTTTTACCAACAGTGTTTCCTAAATTTCCCCCTGAATCTGAATTTTTCCAACTTTTAAACTATTGCTACGAGTCCGCTTGGCTGGAAATTGTGACCTATTTACATCCCCTTTATTTTTTTTCTGTTTTCCATTTTTACACCCCAATCAATCCCCCACTAATTCTAGAGAGTGCACTTCAGGGTCCTCAGTCTATCCCCCATAGGGAAGATTTTTGATCATGGGGTCACTTTTCACCCCTCTTTGTTTTTCCCGAGCATTTAACCATTCTGTAAACGGGGACCAAAACTGAGCAGCATATCAAAAAGGGCTAACCAAGGTATATAGATTGAAGAACAACCCGAACTTCTATTTTTTAAATTTTTTGATATGAACCAAGATTCTGTTTTTTTATTGCGAACACTAATGCACTTTTCTTTTTTTTCAGTTACTGAGCATTTTTTGGGGCAAATTAGGTCAGTTTTGTCCCAGGATGCGACCCACACCAGTCCACTAACACCCAGGTACCCATTTTATACTGATGGGTGAACATGGACAACCGGTGTAAAGAAACACGCCCAATGTTTTTACTCTCTCCGGGAATCGAACCCAGACCCTTGCCGTGTGAAGCGAGAGCTTCAGCCACCAGGCCTCGGGTCAGATGTGGTAATGTGTATTGACTAGTATGGAAATAGGAGGCAGGTGCAGCCCTAGCACATTTATTTAGGAAACGTTTCGCTCACTGGAAGCTCCCAGTGAATGAAAGTTCGCCAGAGCTCTCAAATGGGCAGTATTATAATATTTTATACGATGTGGAAAGAAAAAAAACCTTACCAGAAAATTTTTTCACATTTTTATAAGGATTTTCTGAGCGAAACGTTGCAACAATAATGCTGCACTTGTCTTTTATTTATATTATTTTTTCCCAGGGTGTGTCGACCTTCCTTCTCACCGTGACAATAGCAGCTGTAGTTATTCTCACGGCGTCGTGACGAATATATTATATATATTATATATATATATATATATATATATATATATATATATATATATATATATATATATATATATATATATATATATATATATATATATATATATACCACAGTAAAAATAAGAAAAAAACAACTGAGTGCTTTCGTGTTCTTACGAACATCTTCAGAGGATTTGGAAGGAGAGGATCAAAGGTACATTTTATATATTAAACACTGAGGTGACACATTACCCAGTGAGGTGTTATATGCAGTATTATTGACTCCTAGTATAATGGCATAAACAGACCACGGTAGTGGTGGGGGTTAAACTCACGGCAAAGTAAGTCGTAACACTCCAGGCCAGTGCGTAAGCCACTGGGCCAACTCGCTACAATAAGAGCCATCCAACTAGGTGTACTTATACGTCATAGGGAAGTTAAAATGGGCCACCACTGTTTAAGCTTAGAAGAGTTATTGTATCATTTGAGTTCTCACGACTTGTACTTTGTTTAAGGCCTGGTCATGGACCGGGCCGCGGGGGCGCTGCCCCTAGGAGCTCCCTCCTGGTAGGCGGAAAAAGCTGGAAAATACACAACGATCGAATGCTACCTGTATAGAGTGAAAGGAACATCTCAACATCTAAAGAAACAAATTAACATCTAAACATCTACAGAATTAAATTAACATCTATTCACAGCATCAAATTAACATCTAAACATCTACAGAATCAAATTAACATCTAAACATCTACAGAATCAAATTAACATCTAAACATCTACAGAATCAAATTAACATCTAAACATCTACAGAATCAAATTAACATCTAAACATCTACAGAATCAAATTAACATCTAAACATCTACAGAATCAAATTAACATCTAAACATCTACAGAATCAAATTAACATCTAAACATCTACAGAATCAAATTAACATCTAAACATCTACAGAATCAAATTAACATCTAAACATCTACAGAATCAAATTAACATCTAAACATCTACAGAATCAAATTAACATCTAAACATCTACAGAATCAAATTAACATCTAAACATCTACAGAATCAAATTAACATCTAAACATCTACAGAATCAAATTAACATCTAAACATCTACAGAATCAAATTAACATCTAAACATCTACAGAATCAAAGGAACATCTCAACATCGGGTGAAGAATAAGACGACAGCAGTTTCATACCATTTATTATAGATATTCTATAAACGTATAAAATATCTGACTTTACCAGTATATACTGAGAATGTTGGCCACATGACACTCGTGTTTACCGCGAGACGTGTTCTTCGCCTCACCCGCCCAGGAAACTTACAACTTCCTGGCCTCGTAAGCAGCTCTCCAGGGGAGGGGAAAAGGGAAAAGCATGTAAGCCAATTGCAAAACATAAAATATGCTGCTCCAGTGGGAAGGAAAATGTTCGTGTTTTTTTTTTGCTTCCTGATTTTAAAATACGAAGAAAATAGCTTTTATGAACGATTTTTTTTAATAATCTGTGACAAGCTTTTGTTGAGACGTTCAGAATATAATTCTTCCCATCCCGAGTCGGAGGTCGAAATTATTGTTATTAATTTTTGGCCGTTGAAGTTGAGGGTGATAATATTGAGTACTTTCTTTCGTCGTGGTGTCAGTCTTCAGAATTGTGTGAGCGGCGAGCAGGTGGGGATACAGTCTTGGTGTCAGCAAACCGTGGAAACCTCAGCTTCGCCTTTAGGTAGCAAAACATCGGCTTTAGGTGAGCTCTCACTCTTGTACCTACTGGGTGAGAGGTGAGATAATCTCGTTCTTACTGTGGAGGGCTTGCTGGCTGCCCCTGGTCCCTTCACTAACACTATACTAGAAGCTGGGGAGTCCCTTGGGACGCCCGGCGACCCAGAACCACCCTTCCCCAGTAATAAAGTGGGGGTGGTTAGGTTCCTTGGGCATCCAGGTGACCCTGAGCCCTTTACCAACACTATACTCGGGCCTGGGGGTTCTCTTGGGCAGCTAGGAGATGCTGAGTTCTTCCCTAGCGCCGCGGTGGCGGCAGCTGAATCCCCGTGGCAGCCTGTAGAGCTCGAAGTCTTCCCAAAGACGGTACTCGTGGGCGTGGCTTGTGGACCGGGAGAAGTGGAGTTTTTCACGTTGTCGCTTCTGCTGCGGAAGCTCTTATTGGGTGCCTCGGGGAGGTTCTTTAAAAGGTCCATCACCTCCAAGAACTCCGGCACCAGCGGCAGGATGGTGGACTCCTCCTCTGCCATCTCCGCCTTCAAGTCTGAAGGAAAGAAGAGGCAGGAAGAAACTGGATGAAATGAAGCACTGCTGGCGGGCATGACGAGCTTATTGTGGTAAATGGTTCAAACATCTCATGGAGCACAGACCAAGAAAGAGAGAGAGAGAGAGAGAGAGAGAGAGAGAGAGAGAGAGAGAGAGAGAGAGAGAGAGAGAGAGAGAGAGAGAGAGAGAGAGAGAGTCACCTGATATGGTAGATGCGAAGGAACCTGAAGATGATCCGTCTCCTTCGTAAGCGTAAGCTCTGAGGTCATCCCGCGGCAGGAGAGGGTCAGGAGCACCAGCATCCTTCACACTAGCACCAGCAGGAGTGCTGCTCCCTCTACTGCCCACCACACTCTCTGCAGGCGAGCCTTTTCTCCTAGGCGAGGTCTTGTCTCCTGTGGAAGGCACACACGCAGTAGCAGCACTATGAAGACTACGGCATTAAGAGGCTTAAGTTGTATTACTGAGGAGGCTTGGTTGTGCTAAGAGTATTACTGCCTGAGGGTGAGTACTGAGGGTGAGCACTGAGGGTGAGTACTGAGGGTGAGTACTGAAGGTGAGTGCTTAGGGTAGTGAGAAAGAGATGTTTCTTGCACTGAAGAAGAAATAATGGTTTAACTCAGAAATAGGCGAAGGAGTTTTGGGCGAAGAGAGGTAAAGTTGAACAGAAGGAAGAGGGAGGAAGGTTATGAGTGGCGGGAGAAGAGGGAGGAACCCCTTGAGTGGAGAGTGCATCAATCACCGGGAAAAAAAAATAAAAATTTTGATAAATTTATTGAAGAAGGCAGAGAGACAGACAAACAGACGGTCACACACACACACAAACACACACACACACACCCCACACACACACACACACACACACACACACACACACACACACACACACACACACACACACAGAAGGGTCAGGGGAAACATGATAACGACATACAAGATACTGCGGGGAATAGACAAGGTGGACAGAGACAGGATGTTCCAGAGAGGGGACACAGAAACAAGGGGTCACAATTGGAAGCTGAAGACTCAGACGAGTCACAGGGATGTTAGGAAGTATTTCTTCAGTTATAGAGTCGTCAGGAAGTGGAATAGCCTAGCAAGTGAAGTAGTGGAGGCAGGAACCATACATAGTTTTAAGAAGAGATATGGCAAAGCTCAGGAAGCAGAGAGGGAGAGGACCTGGTAGCGATCAGTGAAGAGGGGGGCCAGGAGCTGAGTCTCGACCCCTGCAACCACAATTAGGTGAGTACAATTAGGTGAGTACACACACACACAATTTGAGCAGCAATTCAAGAACGACATAGTTATGAAAGTCAAATCCGAATTAAAACTGCTTCACAGACCAGGTAATAATAAAAAGAACGACGAATAACACACAAGAAACGACAGGGAAGTCTGTGAAGAGTTGAACGAACGATTTAAACAATTTGTTTTTCAGTAGAAACAAGTTCAGTACCAGAGACTCGAAGATAAAAGGCACACTGACAGGTGCCAGGTACTATATACACAACAGGGAGAGGGTTGATACACCAAAGGCAAAACCACTGCCTGAACCATTAGCTAGAATCCATCACAAGTCAATGGATGCTATACAGTTACCAGAGATCTGGAAGCCAGCGGATGGAATCCCAGTATTTAATAAAGGAGACACACTGACATGCGTACTACGTAGGACAATGGAGTAGTTTAACAGAATGGGAGTGACAGAACACTTAAAGGGAAGGGGTTTAGAGATGACAAATCTTTTCTCCCTAACATTATGGAATTCTATGACGAAGTAAGAAAGTGACGCAGGAGGGAGGGAGAGAGAGAGAGAGAGAGAGAGAGAGAGAGAGAGACGGGTGGACTGTATCTTCTTGGACTCCAAGCAGTCAATTAATTTTGCATCTCACAAGAAATTGGGACGAAAACTTGAGGCGCTTGATGGAATAACAGGGAAGGTACTGCAGTGGATCAACGAGTACCTTAATGGACAGGAGATACACACACACAGGAAGATAAATTAGAATGGGAAAGAGTAACAAGTGGGGTTCTGCAAGGATCGCTATTATAACCACTTCTGTTTAAGAATAAAAAGGCACAATATGACTGGAATAATACACAGATAATCTGTACATAGGAGAAAGAGGCTTATGACGACGTTTCAGTCCAACCTGGACCATTGACTAGTGTGCGACTAGTCACTGGTCCAAGTCGGACCGAAACGTCGTCATAAGTTCCTGTCTCCAGTACTGTTATTGGTACGTGTGAATGATACTAGAAAAGATAAACAGATGTATCCACGCTTGTAGAGAAGTAAATTTAATGAGGAAAATAAAAGCCAATTAGGACAAAAAAAAAAAAAAAACTGCCAATGGACCAGAAAAAATGCAGGATTGTTCAGTCAAGTAGCTACTGGATCCAGTCCCAACATCTGCAAGGTTATGAGAACTGGAAAAGGAATTAGAAGACCGGACACTGGGCATAGACTCGGGGAACAGAGACTGCGAACCTCACTCAAGGAGAAAGACCTTGGGGTGAGCAAAGTACCGAGCTTATCGCCAGAGGCACACATCAAGCGAATAACCTTTGCAGCAAATGCTTATTTTGGTAAGCCTAAGATTAGCTTTCATGAGTCTTAGTAGTTATTAATGGCCAAATAAATAGTGTATAAGGACAGGCTAAAGAAACTGAAACTCGAGACAGAGGATACAAGAATCAGGGGAGACATGATGAAGACATACAAAATACTCAGATGACTTGAGTGGGTGAACAGGGATAGACTGTTTGAGAGGTGGGAAACAGGCACATGAGGGCACATTGGAAAGTAAAGATACAGGCGAGTCATAGGGATGTCGGGAAGTAGAGGACTCAGTCTTCGTACACAGTTTTAAGACTATGTACAACATGGGCTCCACGAGGCTAAGACGAAGTAAATCCAGCAAGTAACAAAGAAGAAATGGGGTCGGGAGCTGCAAGCAAAAAAAAAAAAGGTGTGCAAAAATAGGTGAGAAGACATAAAAATGGAAATCCCATCCTGAACACAAATTGCCTCACCTCTCTTCCGTAAGGCAGGCTGTGAACTGGGTAATTTGAACTTTAGGCATTCCAGAAACGATTCATGAGTGTCATCTTCCTGGAGTTCCTCTCCTCTTTTCTTTTCTCCTCCTCCTCCTTCGTCTTCGTCAGCTCCTCTTCGCCTTCCTTTCTTCACCTCCACCTCGACGGCCTTCCGTGCAGTACCCACGTCGGTGCCTCGTTCCCTCAAACCAAGGTTAGTCCTGTGACGGTGGAGGCGCAGCGACACCACCAACCCCACCACTACTGTTGGGGAACAGTGAGAGGTAAGTCATGAATGGGTGAGGATATAGAGGGAATTAAGCCAGGAATGGTGAGGGAATAGTGGGAGGTAAACCAGGAGTGGTGAAGAAATGGAGGGAGGTAAGCCAGGAATAGTGAGGAAATAGAGGGAGGTGAGCCAGGAGTGGTGAGGAAATGGAGGGGGGTAAGCTGGAGGAGAGCATTTACATAATACATGAGTCCCAAAAGAAAGGAGGAAGAAAAGCTGAATGGTGAGGAAGAGAGGGAGATAAGTTGTAAGTGGGAGAAGGTGGGCACAGAGAAAGGAAACCCACAAGTAGCACGGAAGAGGGAGAAAATACAATAAGCAGTGGGGAAAGAGAAACAAACGTGATTAGTTAGTGAGAAAATTTATATTTAAGCATTAGGAATAGCACTTCTTCCTAGACTGACAGCTACAAATCCCCGTCTCTGTTTATTTTTCGCCTTCGTGAACCAGTGGTAAGGAACATTACCATAGCAGATCAACCTCTTGCATCGTAAAGGCAGCCTCGCCTACACACTTTGGTACATTCACAATAGT